TGACCTAGAGTAGTGGTGCTAAAAATATTGGCAGATCTGGTACCAAAGGACATTGCTGCAAAAACTGAAAAAGGTCACAGAACTGGAAGAGCAGGGAGCCCTCTATAACTTAGTGGGAGAGGCCTTGCTAAAACTAAAGGGAACTGGAATGTGTATTCTAGCAGACCTGACTTACATGACTAGCCTTGGACAGATGCAGACTGGGACTTGTATGTTGATGGAAGCAGTTATATGATGGCGCAAGCCCTAGCAAAAAGCTGTCAGACAGTAATGTGTCATCTGCAGCCAGTTCAATACCTGCCAAGGACCAACGGTACCCCCAGGAATGCCGTCATTTAGAGCAACGCCCTTCGAGGACTTTCAGATTGATCCAGAAGATGGCTAACATCCTGACATCAGCTGGAGACTCTAAGCAACCAACTGCCCACAGGGTTTGGGGAAGGTGGAACGCATGAAACCAGTTTAGGGAAAGTATGCCAGGAAACAAACTTACAGTGGGTAAGTGCCCTGCCCTTGGTATAAGGACAGAATTCTCACAGTAAAAGATCTTATATCATAGGCAAGCCCTCTTACTACAAAGCTTACCAGGACCCCGCCCCAGGGAATTGAGGGAGGTAAAATTAGGGAAGCAGTTACAGACACTGGGAAAGGTGGCAAAGGCAGTGTTAAAATGGGTGAGTGAGAGGTATCCTGTTAGTTTGTTTTCCCCTGTCCACCCTTTCTCTCCAGAAGCTGCAATGTTAAGTCAAAAACTGGAATCCTGACCACACCTGTGAGAGTAGCAGGAATGCCTGCCTAGATCCATTACAGCAGAGTGAAGCCTACCGTGGAACCAGAGGAAAACCTGCCCCCACCTAAGAGGAGCCGGACTGAGCAGTACGTAAACAATGGCAGCTGATCCTGAGTCCCCGCAGAGTGGACTCCGCACCTCAACAGCTCCTGAACCTTGGGAAGCTACCTCGGATCCTGAAAACCCCCTCAAGCTGATGTTGCGAAAAACAACAAGCCCTGCTCCAGTCAAAATCTACGTCATCATAAGACTGCTCTATTAGACTCATAAGAGCTAAGTGAACTTTAATTTGTGCAAATGTTCAAAATGCTATTGTAAAAGTCATTGTTCAACATGTTCCCTTAGCTCACTCCTACTCAGGCCAGAATCAATGCCGTTCAACTATTTGTCCTCCGTTCCCAATATACTCCCATGCATACTACAGCAGATAAGGCTCAAGATTGAGCCTCAGTTACAAGAGAAAGGGGGGAATATAAGGGCCAGACCAGCGCCATTTTCTTGTCTGCTCTGTTAAACTGCAGGGCCCACCTTGTAACCTTCCTCATTCCTAGCAGGGCCCACCCTATAACCCTCCCCATTCTATTCCTAGTTTAAACCACACCCGCAGGGCCCACCCTGCAACCTTTCTCATTCCTTTCATAGTTACTCAACCAAATAGTACCACCCTAGGCAACAGATAAGTTTCTGTTAGCCCCCGGTTAAGGGACCCTCCACCCCTTACCTGTACCAATCCAAATTCACCTTTACTAATGAAA